AAAAGAATAACCAATAATTAATTATTAACTAAATAATAAATTTAGTAACTAATTATGTCATGTCGCTTTTTTTTAGGCTGCCACTTGGCTTAACGAAAGGGATTTTTCCTCTCCTTTTAGTAATATATAGATATTTAAATTCAAAAAGAATAACCAATAATTAATTATTAACTAAATAATAAATTTAGTAACTAATTATGTCATGTGGTTTTTTTTAGGCTGCCACTTGGCTTAACGAAAGAGATTTTTCCTCTCCTTTTAGTAATATATAGATATAGATATTTAAATTCAAAAAGAATAACCAATAATTAATTATTAACTAAATAATAAATTTAGTAACTAATTATGTCATGTGGTTTTTTTTAGGCTGCCACTTGGCTTAACGAAAGAGATTTTTCCTCTCCTTTTAGTAATATATAGATTCTGTTGTTCTTAATAATATTATCTAAATTTTAGTGAATAAAATCTTTGTTAAACTAACGGGACTTATACACGCAGCGCATCGAATAACTTTTTTGTTATGTATTTTTCTTTATTATATTTTCAAATATTTAATGCTACTACATTGTTAATAGAAAGTTTCATTAGCATATTACGTTATTTAATATTTTTCTCTGAAGTTTTTTTTTATTTCTTTATTTTGGTTTTTTTTTTTTCAAATAATTTTAAAACTCCAACTTAAAACTACTCCCCAATTTGAATTGATAATTTATTATTTTTTTAATTTCGTTTTTTATTTTAAATCTCACATTTGAAACTACTCCCGATTTGGATGAGTAGTTTTTCTTCTCTTTTTTTCGTTTTTTATAGCATTTTTGTTGGCTTTTTAAAAAAAATAATTTAAAAGCTCCAACTTGAAAATACTCCCACCCAATTTGAATGGGTAGTTATTTTTTTATATATTTATATTTTCGTTTTTATATTATAGTTAATTATAAGATATCTATATTTATTAATTTAAATAAAGTAACCAATATATATATACATATATATGGTAGTTTTTTTTAGTTATTTTCATTTTTAGATATATTTAAATTAAAAAGAATAACCAATAACTAATTTAATAACTAATTATGCCATGTGTCATTCTATTGTTTTGCCATTTGGCTTCACGAGGTGCTTTTGTCTTCTGCTTTTAATTATAGATAGATTCTTTGTATACCTAGTTCTTCAGCTACTTATTATTAATTTCAGCACTGTTACTCAAACACGTAACTGCTTATTTTTTAAATCAGCTTCGGCACTTAAAAGTGCTTTTCGACACTTAATGCTTATCGGCTATTCTAAATCAGCTAAGCCAAACAGGCTCATAATCTTATAGCGTGCCACATTATGAACATTACCCTGATACGGACGAGAAGGGATGCATAGGAATAACATTATTTCAAATAAGATAATCACACCCGATTTAGATTTGACTTTCGACTGTGTTAACATTTGATTTATATTTCCTTTAGGTTAATGTTGTGAGATTATAAATAAATTATTGAAAACGTTTATTGTTTAGGCGGTGTTTTTATTTGTTTCTTACTTTTAATATTCTGAAGCTTCGGTTATTGTTAATGTAACAAAAAAGAAACAAGCGGAACCATTGTGTTTAAGGTTAGGTTACATACTGCATCAAAGTCTATATGTCCTTTGCTTCTGAAAAAAATCTAAAATAAAACATTATTACCCTCTGAAGTGTCAATAAAATTTTCTTTCATTTATAAATTTTAAAATACTTTTACTTTAAACTTAACCGATAATAAATTTTAATGTAGTTTATAATTATCTTTAAAAAGATCAAGATATCAATCATTGAATTCAAGAAAATTATTACAAGCATCGGCCTTTCTGCTCTAAACTTTATCATTTGACGAAGCAAAATGGAGTAATAAATTTTTCTTAAGAATAGCGTGAAGACACACGTGATAGCGTGAAGACGGTTGGCAATTTTTTTTGTTTTTGTTTGTGAAGTATCAAATGAAAAATGAAGTCCAATGCAACCAACGGAAGTGCCAAAGGCCGCTTTTCTCGTTTTCTTCCTCTTCTTCGGAGGAAAAAGAAAAAACATCATCAACCCCCCCCCCCCCTCCCAAA